AACCTGGGTTCCTGGGACATTTGGATTTGCATTAGTTTGAACAGACGTGGAAAATCGTTGGGCTGCGGGGCAGCGGTGTGGCACGAACAGATTTTGACTTTTGATTTGTTAGACCTGGTTTTTTTGGTTGCCATTGTGTTCCTTTTGGTTTCTGGATGTTTCTGGTGTTTTTATCAAAGGAAGTTTGATGAAGAAACTTCCAAGCTGCGGACACATAGCTGAGAGAAGAAACTCCCAGAAATAGCTCAGAGAGTAGTTCAGAGTGGAGAAGTAGCTCAAACAACTAGTTCCAAGGACAAAAAAAAGCTCGAAAAAGTAGTTCAAAGGTGCACAAAATGTTGGGAGGCGCAGAACGAAATGATCCAAATGGCTGTGGCAGTCTCGAACGAAATGCTCATTTGCGAGGCAGAGCATGCACGAAACAGTGTGTTTTCACAGGTCAAGTAGCGCAAACAGTTTGAAAGCGCATGAATGTAACAACACGTGTGAAAACACACAGGTGGAAGCGCAAATGCGAGATCCCACATATGAAAGGACACATGTGAAAGCACACAGGTTGAAGCGCACATGCAAGATCACACATATGAAAGGACACATGTCACACATGTGAGAGCACACATATGAGAGCACACAGGTGGAAGCGCGCATGCGAGATTACACATATGAAAGGACGCATGTCACACATGTGAGAGCACACATGTGAGAGCACACAGATGACAGGACACATGTGAAATCACACAAGTGGAAGGGCACATGCGAGGTCACACATATGAGAGCACACAGGTTGAAGCGCACATGTGACATCACACATATGTAAGGACACATGTAAAAGCACACATGTGAGAGCACACATGTGAGAGCACACACGTGAGAGTGCACATGCGAAATCACGCATATGAAAGGACACGGGTGAGAGCGCACATGTGAGAGCACAAAGATGAAAGGACACATGTGAAAGGACACATGTGAGGGCACACATATGAGAACACACATATATAAGAACACACGGGTGAAAGCACACATGGAGCGAAACATTTGAACACAAGTATGAGAGCACAGACATGAGAGCACACAGATGCGAGCACACACATGTGAAAGCACACCTTTGAAGAGCGAACATGCCGAGCATGCTATATGAAAAGCACATAGAAAATGCAATTTTACTGCAGTTTCGGACACTCGACACGCACCAAGTGTGTACAGTAGAGGGTTGCGAACACGTTTTGAAAAGTGCACTTTTACCTCAGTTTCGGACACTCGACACGCACCAAGTGTGTAGACGCTTGCGAACACGTTTTGAAAATTGCACTTTTACCTCAGTTTCAGGCACTGGACAAGCACCAAGTGATTAGAGGGTTGCGGGAGCACAACATGAAAAGTCACCAAGTGCTGCGCCTGTCACGTTTTTAACGCATCTTTGCAAGGTAAAAACACATCAAAAGACCAAGTTTTACCTAGGGTTTTGAGCACTTTTTTGATGAGTGCTCAAAAGTATAAAGTGCCTGCCGCCCTCAATCTGCACCTCAAGTCATCCTCTCACGAAACGAGCCTCCAAGAGCTCAAAAACAAAAAGAAAAATGTCACCAAGTACTGCGCCTGCCACGAAATCTACGATCTTCAAATTCATTGCGCCTGCCAACGAATTTGCAATGTGCACAATCCCTTGCGCCTGCCACGTATTTTGCAAATCGTCCGATCCCTTGCACCTGTCACGCAAAACGACGTTTTTGACCTCCAAAGTGCCGATTTCACTGCGCCTGCCACGTAAAACGAGCTTTGCTCCAAAAATGAGCACGGCACCACAACGAGAGCACCGTCTCCGAAGAGCCGCTCCCGGGGCCACACCGCGTCCTGCGCCTGCCACGATTTCAGCATCTTGGACTTCGCCAAAGTAACTTTTGTATTGCGCCTGTCACGCAAAATGCCGCGACCGTATGCGCCCACCACCGATTACACCAGGCCCTTTCTACCAGTAGTACCGCACAAGGCGGTGGCGGAAGTTTCAAATTATAGGAAACCTATAGGAGAGGTTGGTTGTTGTGAATCAGGGATGGCAGAGCGAAGCCACTGATGGACCGAAAGGTGCTTGAGGTCTCCTCTCTTTCTCTCTCTTTCTCTGACTATCTACCTACCTACCTACCTATCTATCTATCTATCGATCTATCTCTCTCTCTCTTTCATCTAATAACCTATCTATCTATCTATCTATCTATCTATCTATCCTTCTATCTATTTATCTATCTATCTATCTATCTATCTCTCTCTCTCTTTCATCTGTCTATCTGTCATAGCTGTCTACCTGTCTATCTGTCTATCTATCTATCTATCTGTCTGTTTGTCTGCCTATCTGTCTATCTGTGGTGCAGTGTCATTCAGTGTAATGTAGCGTAGTGTAATGTAGTGTAGTGTAGTGGAGTGTAGTGGAACGTAGTGTAGTGTAGGGTAATGTAGTGTAGTGTCGTGTAATTTAGTGTAGTGGAGTGTAGTGGAGTGTAGTTGTGTAGTTGTAGTAGTGTTGTGGAGTGTAGTGTAGTGTAATGTAGTGAAGTGTAGTGTAATGTAGTGTAGTGGGGTGTAGTGTAGTGTAATGTAGTGTGGTGTAGTGTAATTTAGTGTAGTGGAGTGTAGTGTAGTGTAGTGGAATGTAGTGAAGGTGTCAGTGTAGTTGTAGTTGTAGCGTAGTGTAGTGTATTGGAGTGTAGTGGTGGTTGTGGTTGAAAATGCTACAAAATCTTAACGTTTTGCTCACTTTTAACAAGATCCACAATCCCTTGCACCTGCCACGCGGAACGACATCTCAACGTCCAAAAGTGGTCCGAACCCCTGGTGTTTTTAACATTTTGACTTCGAAATGTGCTTCGCGCCACAACGGCGTGCACTTTTCGACATCTCAACTTCCAAAAGTGGTCCGGCGCTGAGGTGTTTTGTACATTTTGACTTCGAAATGTGCTTCGCGCCACAACGGCGTGCAATTTTTCATCTCTCATCTGGCCAGCTGGCTCCGCACCCGCCGCTTTAGCGAGCCTACTTTTCGACCCTCCGGAGCGTCAAATCATTGGAAAAAACACAGTGCTTCGCGACTTTCCTACCTTTTCGCGCATCTGCATCTTCTTTCTTCTGACTCTTTCTCTTCTCTGATCTTCTCTCTTCTACTCTCCTCTTCTCTCTGCCTCTGCCCAGCTCTGCTTTTCATCTGTCCATATTGTCGGAAGTTTGACTTCTAAACTTCCTTCGAGAATCGCATTCGAAACTCAGATGACCAAAGCGATTAGATACTTGACATTTAAGATGGACTCCCGTGACCCGTGTAAAACTTTGAGAGTTGACACCATCGAAATCAAGTAGGCATATAGACGCTCCGTCCACCATGTAGATCCTTTTCTTTGTTGTTTGTGGTCGTGAAACACCTGGCTACACCTGGCTCTTTTTTTGGCTCAGAGAAGGAACAAATGAATCGCTTTTGCCACGCCTGACTGGGCGCAAAGTGCGCAGCGTGTCAATGGCCAAAGGCGCCTCAAGGCAAAGCATGCCGATGAACTGCTTTGCGTGGTTTCACTACAGTGATCTAGGCGTGTCAGATGCATCTGTGTTACGCAAATCACTGTCACTCGCCTAGCGCTTGCCGAAATATTGGTGAGGAATCTCGATAGCCGATAGCCAGAGGTCAGCTTGTGCAGAATGACTTGAGACAGCCTCCGTGTTAAGACAATGGCAAGAGAAGTAGAGCTGAATTTGCTTTTTCACCTCCGTGATATTGTACCCGGTTTGGATGGTGGCAAAAAAGAATTAAAGGACCGGATAACCCCACAAGGCAACTTCTTCCAATAATGAGCGCCAAAGGTTGTAGCAGGGACGGAGAAGGAAGGAAAGGCACAGGAGGTGGTGAAGGATCGAAAAGTTAAAACAGTTGTGTGTGACAAAGTGGAATGTGAAAGATGGTGTGTGACGAAGGAAGATGGTGTGTGTGTATATATAATTGGTGCAGATCACAGTGGAGACTGCACCCAACGAAGCTATCCACTTGTGCTGGAAGCAGAGTCTGATCAACTCTGTGTACCTGCTATTTCAATTTCTGTTTTATGTCCATTCCGTTTTCCGTCATGGCAACCGGCCAAGCCAAGAACTGGCATGTCGTTTTCAAACGGTTTTCAAATCAAACGACTGTACGGTTTTCGCAATCTGACTGAGCTGCATCAGAACAAGTTACAATCCTTCGAGCAAGGACGTAGAAAGCCTACTTCGCACTAGCTTTTACGTTGAATTTTTCAATTTCTTTTGTTAGGTTTAACTGAAGTGTTTTTGCACGTGAGATGCATTCCACATCAATAATTCGATAAGATATTTCTGAGCAAGTGTGTGATTCATGCTGGATTCGTCAAGGTGGCATGAATCCCTCGGGGAAAGCCTTTCTAGGCTAAAAATTGACACGTTGAAACGACCTCTGAATTTACACTTTTGAAGTGGTAATTCACCTCAATATATTCAAAACAAAATCTGAAAATCCAAATAACAAGTATATAAAATAAAAAAATCAAATTAATAATACTAGGGTCGGCCCGCTGTTTCCAATAGCGGGGAATTACGATAGGAATAAGAATCAATATAGTTAAACTACATTTTTTTTTGAAATAGGAATAATTCGAAATAAGATTATTAAATTAAATTAAGAAATGCGAAGATATGGAAAGATATCTTGTTGTGTGTTCTGCCGCTCTAAGTGCAAACACGAAATGCAAAGCAGGAGTGCTATCTGTTTTGTCATGCGTAGCTTCGAATGCTAGGCTCAAAAGAGGGCCCTCTGGAATCGTTGTCCAGAGGCAAGACACGTAAAAACCAAAGAGGCCGCGTCGAGAACGCCCAATGTGGTTCTGCAGCTGCATGTTGTGGTTCCAACCTGGCAAAGTGGTAAATGGATCAGTTTGTTGGCACCAAACTCACACCGGTGGAGAAGAAAGAAAAGTTCACCACGGTCCACCCAGGTTGCTGTTGTCACGCAACGTCTAAATGCATTGGCTGCAGCATTTCAAATCTCGTATGCCGGCTTGATTCGCTTGTAAAAGCGCTCGACAATCACGATGCAAATGATATCGGGCTCCAGTTCGGCTCACAAACAAAGAGGTTGATGTCACATCTTGCTCGTAGTAGTGAACCAAATTTTCAAGATCTTGGATTCTTTCGTCTTTGTCGTTCACCTGCTGTTGCAGCATCTGAACTCTGAAGTTCAAAAGGTGAATAGTTTGATCACGTCCACTTTCGGTTTGGGTTGATACATCTTCCAGCGCAGCTTGTTGATTCCATAGGAACGCAAAAGGTCTCATCAGTGACCAGGGCATTCTTGAGGTTTGAAACCTAGGTACAGCCATAGGTCTCGGCAGGGACCTTGTCATTCTTTCTAAGCACTGCCATGCCAGAAAAACTGTCGCCACAAACATGGTGAGGAAGGTAAAGATGAAAATGATGTTGTAGGATGAAAAGGAATCTTTTGCAAAATCATCACCTCGAACTGGCTCAAGTTGATTTGTCAGCACTGCAAAACCAATGCCTTTCTGCAATCGACCAATCGCATTGCGTCTAGCTGAAGCTTGTCGTTCAGCAAGAGTTTTCTTCTTTGCTGCTTGGAAGCTCTGGTCAGAGTGCAGGGAGAAGACATGGGACCGTAAGCGGTCTGCAAGCAATTGCCGTGCTGCAATTTTGGTAACACCATCTGCCAGTTGGGTCTCTGATGAAATCCATTTCAGCTTCGTTTTCATCTCATCCATTTTCTGTTTCACAACCATGACCTCAATCTTGGATCTTCGGTCGCCTTGCATCTGTGGAACTTCAGCTTTCAGGCTATCATAGAGCGCCTTCGCGTCGACGTCGACCACCAAGGCTGACTGCATTTGGATGTCGTGGACGTCCAAGTGGCGCAACTCGAAGCAAGGAGTCACACATCCATGCCAGAAGATCAGAAGATACTCAAGAGCATCCATTGCACCAGCGCATGCTTGTGCTTCAGAGTTGAGGCTACTGCGGCTGATTCTGGAAAGTTTGTAGCTTCGCCAATCCAAAACAACATAGGGTTGGTCCAATTGACCTTGCAGGGCTTTCACATTCATCAGCAAAACAAAGTAGCCGCCTTGGGACTCATGGTTCTCTAGAACGCCCCAGGCTGCATCGCTCAAGGCTATCATGCATAGCTCATGTAGCTGGCCAAGGTCAGAAAATTGGAGTCCAACGTCGCTGTTGGCTTTGGCAAATCTAAGCAGCTTGTTTGCTTGGGTAGCTGTGGAAACTGCTGCGGCGCTCACTTCGCCACACAAAAGACTCACGCTTGCACTGAGGTGAGGTGAAGTCTGGGTTGCTGGCCATTGAAGCGCTCCTAGAAGTCCACGGAGCATTGTCACTTCTTTGACAGTCAATTCACGATTCTCATCTGAATCGCTCAAGGTCAAAGGTTTGATCTTTTGGACGTACGCCTGTTGGCGCAACCACCAGCCACCTTTTCCATCAGCCTCAAGGTCACAACCGCAAAACTGCAGTTGACCAGTTTCTTTTCCTTCAGTCCAATGTTTGAAGTTGAAACTCTCATGAAGAGCCTGTTTTGCCTTCTGGTAGACTTCATCGGATTCAAGTCCAGCACCGATGAGATCATCGACATGAATGCCGATCATTGAAACCAATTGACCACCATGAAAAAGGCAATAAAGGCATTAATCTAGTGGATGTGGTTGGTACCCTGCAGCAATCAATCTTCTGCGGGCAACTTGAAACCATCTTCTTGGAGCATCGGCTTGCCCGTAAATGGGTTTGAGAAGTCGCATCAGTGTACCGGCTGGCACACCAATCAGCTGGCAAGCGTCTTTGGGAATCGCCTTGAAGAAAGGCTGTCGCAACATCAGAAGTGAAAACAAGCCAGGATTTGCAAGTTGCAATGGCCAGGAGAATCTGCCGTGAGGATCGGCTCAAGGTAGGGGAAGATGTGTCAAGCTCTCCTCGTAGTAGATCTGGATCAGAAAATCCTCGAAGAACCAAACGTGCTTTTGCGCGTGGGTTGCCATTGTTGTCGGCAGACCACTTCAGCACAAACCGTGCTTTCATCACGCGGTTCCAATCGACCTTCTCAGGATGGAGCTCAATCTCCCAAACTTGATTCTCAAAAATGGAGGCCAACTCAGCTTTCTTGCCCTCGATGAACGCCAGGCGGTCTTCAAGACTCATTCGGCTTTCCTTCAGGTCAGCTGAATCCTTGACGTTCTTCTTCTTGGGTGAAGCTTGGGCAGACCAGATATGGCCACGGCTTCGGATGGTTTTGTTGTTGAACTTCTTGGACAGGTCGCCAACGTAGTTTTGGCCAAACTCAGCTGCAGCATCTTTGGTCAGTGGGTACAAGGTCTTTCCAAACCATGGTTCATCACTCACAGGGGCAGACTGCTCCTCGTTGACCAGGATGATGCGGCTGTTGCGTCTCATTGTCAGGCCATTTGTGGTCTGGAGCTTCTCGGCAGGCAAGGGAAAATCTGTTGTATAAAAAGTGCAATCCCTTGACCAAACATGGTTTCTAACCAAAAATCAATCTTCAAAGCTCCAAAAATCTGCTGTGGAACCAAGGTAGATCTCATGGGTTTTCGGATCATAGTGCCATCCAGCTGGAAGGTTGGTTGAGCCTTCGCAGCCATTTGGAAAGAGCTCCACAGCGATGTTGACCGATTCATGGTGCTTGGCCCGTTTTGATTTGCCAGGGCTTTGAGGATCAGGGTGATCATGCACCAGTGGCCACAATGGAGATCGCATCCAAGAAGTCTCACTTCTTTCATGTTGCCGTCGGCGTTCAGCAAAGGAAAGTCCGGGAAGTTGTGGAGGTGCCTCAGGCATTGAAGATTGGGTGGTGGTGTTGTCAGCTGCAATGGTGGGCTGATCAGCTTCACTGTCATCACCATCAGGGATTGGAACATCTTGCGGAAGAGGTTCAGGCAGAAGTCCAGCCCCTGCCTCTCCGCTGGAGGATGCTGCTGCTGCTTCAGCTTGCTGTGAAGGTTGTGGCTCTTCAGAGTCGCGCAATTCCAAGTCCAAGCGCCTTGACTCATCCGGTAAGTCCAAACCGGGATCCGTTGGCAAGTCCAAGCCAGAAGACGGATCAGCCACAGGTAGAGGTGGATCTTCAGCAGGATCTTTTGGCAAATCATCGATGGGTTCAGTTGGCTCATAGGAAAATGATCGCACTGATTCAGGTCGTGCTGCTGGGGCATCTTGCTCACCTTGATCAGGAGGATGGTTGATGCGCCGCAAGTCGGCAGTTCGGACAACTCGCCGTTGACGGAGACCAGCAATGGCTTGTTCAGCACGTTGAGCTCCATTGACAAGACCTTCTTGGCCAACAAGTCGTCGAACATGTTGACGTCCGGCACGGATGAGCACAGTGCCGTGGGCAATCCAGTAGGTGTCAATGGTGCCAGTGTCTGGGTCTCGTTGGACAGCAACGACCGTTGCAGGGCCTTTCCACTGAACCGTGTGGAATCGATTGCCAACTTCTCGCCAGTAAAGGCATCGTTTACCTGGCTGTAGATCTTCATCAGCACCTGAAAAGCGTCGGAGTAGAGCACGTCGAAGTTTGACGTCAATCTCCGCAACAGCACATGCATTTTGGGCACTTGCTTTGAGTTCAAGTCGTCGTCGTAGTCGATCTTGTTCAGTTTGTTGAAGTTGGATTGGACCAGTGCGCTCGTTAGAGATGAGTCCAGGCATGTTCGGTTGTTTTCCCAGGGCAAGTTGCATAGGAGTAAATCCATTCACAAAAGTGCATTGATTCAATGTGGGTTCCTTGGGATCCCCAGGCATCAAAAAGAGATGACATTTTGCTTCCTCAGATTGTTGAGGGAGATCAGCAGCCACTGGCGCCATCAGTGCCAGTTGAGTCACCAAAGAAGTCAACAAGACGACTTTACATCACCAAACGTGATTTGGACAAGTATGGCTACACAGCTGGTTGTGTCGCCTGTGCCAGCGGGGGGAAAACCGCGCCAGCGTTTTAACCGTTTTTGAAAACACACATATTTTATCCGTAGCATGCACATCTTACGTTACGTCACTGGGTTGGGGGGTGGGGGATGTTAACGTTCATGTGAACTTGCGTCACATGCACATCTTACGTTACGTCACTGGGTTTGGGGGGTGGGGCATGTTAACATTCATGTTAACTTGCGTCACATGCACATCTTACGTTACGTCACTGGGTTGGGGGGTGGGGGATGTTAACGTTTATGTGAACTTGCGTCACATGCACATCTTACGTTACGTCACTGGGTTGGGGGGTGGGGCATGTTAACATTCATGTGAACTTGCGTCACATGCACATCTTAGGTTACGTCACTGGGTTTTGGGAGTGGGGGATGTTAACGTGTATGTGGAACTTGCGTCACAATGCACAATCTTAACGTTACGTCACTGGGTTGGGGGGGTGGGGGATGTTAACGTTCAGGTGAACTTGCGTCACATGCACATCTTACGTTACGTCACTGGGTTGGGGGGGTGGGGGATGTTAACGTTCATGTGAACTTGCGTCACATGCACATCTTACGTTACGTCATTGGGGGGGGGGGGGGATGTTAATGTTCATGTGAACTTGCGTCACATGCACATCTTACGTTACGTCACTGGGTTGAGGGGGGTGGGGCATGTTAACATTCATGTT